GGATGATTCTGGTACCCAGGATTATAGGTGTTGGAGTATGGGTTGTTCTGCCTATAAGCTTGAAAGGCATTGACTTGCTCCACAAAACTCCTGCAATCTTGCTCCCAATGACCTAAAATTCCACAATTTTCACAGAAAGCATCATTAGCATTATTATTCATTACAGAAACATTAGCTACATTTGCAGTACTAAGATTATCTAGTCTTTGGCAGATAGAGGATAATTGAGCTTGCAAAAAGGATACAAAGTCAGCACTATGCTTCCCCTTGTTAGCAAAGCCTCTAGGATTCCCATATTGGGAATTATGTATCGCCATATCTTAGATAACTTGACCTGCATCATCAACATTAAGGTTCATAAACCTCCCACTAGCTGCAGAATTCAATATTATTCTAGATGAATTTTCAATCCCATTGTAAAAGGCTTGGATAAACTGACATTGTGCCAAATTATGGTTGGGGAATTTTCTTTGTAGATCCTTGAACCTCTCCCAAGCCTCATATAAAGTTTCATCGGCCTCTTGCGCAAAGTTCTGAATAGCACTCCGTAGTACAGCTGTTCTCTCTGCAGGAAAATATTTGTTATAAAAATTCAAAACAAGAGTTTCCCAGTCAGGTATACCAAGTGCAGTTCTATTTAAACCATTAAACCATAATTTGGCTTTTCCACTTAAAGAGAAAGGAAAGAGAATCTCCCTAATTTGGTCTTGTGTGACCCCAGCTTGCCTGATGGTATTACAGTACTGACAGTAGTCTGCAATATGAAGATTTGGGTCTTCACCCTTCGCTCCACTAAATTACTTCCTTTCTATCATCGTTATATATTGGGGTTTAATCTCAAACTATACCGCAACAAGAGCTGGAGTGGGAGTAAGGTGTGGAAAATCGGTAAGCTTTGGTTGTGAGTAATCACTAAGCTTCTTAGGAACTGCCATCTCTGATTCTGGATCTGAAGATACCTCTGAATCGCTAGAATCAGTTAGAGGGTCTCGGTTATTATTATTATCACCAGAAGCCGCCATGATTTGCTTGTAGAAATTCTTTTGTTTATGGAAGGATCGTTCGATCTCCGGATCGAATGGGATGTAACTTGATCTGGAACACCTGGGCATAAACAAAGAACTAGAAGCAAATATGAGACTTGCCTCAAAGAATTAAGGTTCTCTTAGACAAAAAGAAATAACATAGACTACGAAAATAATCAGAAATAAAAAATAAAACTGTTTCCCCGGCAACAACGCCAAATTTTGACAAGCTAAAATCGTATCACCTAATCAAAAGTAATTCCTAAAACCACTATCTAATAATAGATAGGGAAGTAAGGTCGAATCCACAGGGAAACTGGTCTTTCTATTCCTAACTAATTCAAGCAATCTAAATTATAATGTAACCAATATTTTATAATCAAAGGAAACTAAACTACGGAGATTAAAAGTAGGGAAGCATAAGAATAGAGGAAATCAATGAATAAAAGACCTAGGGCATAGGTTCACCAATAAATAACATTTCAGGGTAAAACATAATAATCAATCATCAATGCATAAATTAATCAGATCATAAAGGGCTTTCGCTACGCATTACAATCACACAATTAATATACCGGTATTAAATCTCATCTCTCGAATCTCAACTTTACATTTATAAATTAACTTGTCTATTAAAACTAGACCTTAAAATCAATTCTCATCTCTCGAATCTTGAATCAATATTGTCAAACTCATGCATAAAAGATCAGGCCTAATATAGTCACAAAGCATTAAATCAATCAACAGGAAATTAATCTAGCATTGATAATCAACAACAATAAATTACCCCTTCATATTATTTATGGGTCCCCATAAACCCTAGAAATAAAACTACTCACACATAATTAAATCTAAACTAATCAAAGAAATAAAATAAGACATGATGAAAGAATTATAATAAATAACTGAGATTAAAGTAAAATAAATCGTTACCAAAGTAATTCGGAATTAAGAGTAGAGTTAAGAACAAAGTATTAGAGAGAGAGAAAACTAATCTAAAAGCTAAGTAGAGAGAAAAAATCTAAGAAAAGAATTAAGAAAGAGTAAAAGAAGATACTAAACTCGCTTAACGGAAAAGTACTTATATTAAGCAAGAATCCTAAACTAAAACAAACTTAAATGATGCTAATCGTCTCCTAAAGCTGACACGTGCCCGATCGGGCCCGCCTTTTTGCTCATCAAGTATGTTTCTCGCGCCCGGCCGGGCGCGAGTTCGGGCGCCGACTTTACTTCCCCTGCCCTGCAGGGCGCACCTTCGAGTGGGAGCTCCTTTGGCCGGGCGGCACTCTTGGGCCACTCTTTGGACTTCGATTGGGCTCCAATTCTTCGAGCCAATCCGGATTTCCTCTTCGAGTCTTGAATACTCGGTCCAAATGCCCCGGTATCACATATACCGAGCCCTTAATCACCAGTTCCATGGCTTTAACCGGCCCTGGGCTATGAAGGACGGTCATGCTTCTCCAATGCTCGTAGTTGCTCCATAATATCTCGGGGAAATGCTCCAAAAGCGCAAATCCTACAAAAGTCAATCAAATCTACGAAAACACTAGAAAAAACCAATTAGTAATAAAAGTGGCTCTAAAGAGCCAAAAAAACTACTAATTATGACCAAGGGACGGGGGTAAAATACTATATAAAATAGACATATTAGTTGCATACGCTCCTTTTGTGTATCTGAATCTGTACTCTAAATTTTGGAATGTGAAGGCAAGGATTATAAGATTGTACGAAATTCAACATGTCAAAAATAATAAAAAAATTTGGAAGATGGTTCTTCTAGATGCTGCGGTATATAAACATTTATTTTATACTTTTCTTTACCATGCATTCTTATTTTATTCTTTTATAAATTATAATATATGCTTGAGTGGTTAAGTCAGGATCTATGAAGTTTTGCCGTTCATTTATTATCTTAAGATAATTATCTAAGTTTTTTGATCCATATCATCAAATAATCTATCAAACCAGGTTTTACCTTTCATTTGTTATATTAATCCACAATTACATACTTACTCTTTTCTTTTTAAAGGGTGAAACCATTCAAGGTATTATAATTACGAAGGATGTTGATAATTTTATTGGCAAATTACAAAATGGTTCTGTGTATTGTTTTAAAAGGGTTCAAGTTATTCCAGTGGATGATTGGCTACGAATAGTTCATAATACGTATCAACTCAATATAACTACATAAACAGAAATATCCATTGTTGATACTGACATCGAAGACTTTCCAAAGTACTCTTACAACTTTGTATTTTTACATGGTATCAACTCATTCAAACGCACCGAAGGAGTTGTGATATATATGAAAGTGGGATTCATCGAAATGAAATTACCGGTATCATTAAATAGGAGATATTCTAATAGATCAAAGGTATGTATACACATTTTTTTTGTAAAGGAATATAATATATATATTTTTTATATGATTGTTTTACGTAATTAGGGGATGGGGGGTTATGGTTTTATTTTTTAATTCTTTTTGGAACGTATTACTATATTATATCGGCTTTGATAAATATAGATATATTTTAAGGATTACATAGATATTTTTGTGGTGAACAATGTTTTAAGGAATTAGGGGTTGGGGAATTAAGCCTTTTATTTTAATTTTTTTACTATTTGAAAAGATAACTGCACGTAAAAGGATATGCGTACTGACTTCTTATTAATTTTTTTATTTTCTTCTTTATTTTATAAATTAAATAGATAGATACTTTTTTTTCTATACAGTTGTTTTGCTACGAGATTGACAATATGGAATAACTTTGTCAACGCAATTGGTGAACGAGGAATCGAAGAATATGATCAAAATCTCACTTTACTTGCATGTAGTGTCCAACTTCAAAATTATAATGGTAAAGTTAAATATAACTGTTTTTTTTAGGTCTACTGTGTCCCAATTGAAGGACTTGCATGAACAAGTTTATGTATACAACATACTTTTGATTTGTGACCTTATTTAATTCATTTCTCTTTCTAACTACTGTATATGGTTATATTATTTATAGGTAAATGTGAATGAAATGTCAAAGCTACTACATACACGTTGTGATAGCTCATATGTTTTTAGTTTACATCTCCTACTTCTCTATCGTCACCCTACAAAGTTATTTATGTGACATTTTAATTGGGAGGAAGAGTGTGCATATTTACTTAAAAGGTGAGCATATCCAAAACTTATATTTAAATTCAACTAAAATATTATACTATTTTCATTATATTTATTCAACCTTTTTTTTTTGTAGAAAAAGTGAAATGACTAAAGCTCAATCACGAAGCCAACCCGTTAGCAAATTTTACACGAGACAACTTTTGTACATTATGTAGTATGTAAATATAGAGTTTATGTATGAAATTAGAGTTATATGCAATTTATATTATAATACCCATTCAGTAATCCTTTTTCCTTTCCAAAAGATTTTTAGCTATATCAAAAAGCATGTAGGATAAAATGCTATCTCCTATATACATGCTCATTGAACTATCAACAATTAATACGGTTAGTTATTATCATATTAAATTATAAAAAGGAGGATAGATACACTTTTATCATTAAATCAATGAAGTTAAAACTTATCCTTATACCGTTTTTGATTTTTTATATCTTAAAGTTCAAATTTATTTTAAAAACCAAAAAAAAAAAAAAAAAAAAAAACCTAATCTTGCAAACAATAGATATTGTCATTCAAAATACTACTGTTTTTTTTTTTGGATAACATAAATTTTTAATTACTTTTTTTTTGGTAACATAAATTTTTAATTACCTAATAAAAATTACATTTATAAAAAAATACAATCAGCAATATATGTCAACAAAAAAAAAACCCAACGTTAATATATGAATTTTTTATATTTTGTTACATTGATATTTTCTACTAATTAAGTTGGGAACAATATATTACTAACAAAAATATCTTTAAATTTTAGTTTTTAATTAAAAGATTTTTTTATTAATTTTTTTTACAAAAATATCTTTTAATTAATGTGTTGACAACTTCATAATTTAGAAACAAAATTATTTAAAAAATAAACTACCCACATTAATTCATTAAACATACGGTTACCAACAACCCCTAAATATTTGCCCCTTTCTATGTGTGCACTACCTACAATTATCCACTTTATTTTCATTAAAATTTATTTTTATTATTCTTTTAAAAAAAATAAATACCCACTATTTTTTTTAGCAAAAAAATACCCACTATTTTAGTTATACGTTTCTATTTTCTTTTTTTTCCTTATACAATTCTGCCATTATTTTTTGTTAGCATATCCAGTTTTCTTCCTACATTATTATCTTCAATTATCACTTAATTGTTCAGTAATATACAGACATCTTCAGTCTCACAAAAAAAATATATAAAAAAATCATGTACTTATGAACCGTACTATCAGTTGTCATGCCTTCAGCCAAGTAATCATCTTTTCATTCAAGTTGTCTTCTATTTTTCCTTAAAAATAATAGTTGTCTATTTCGTAATGATTCATAATGATATTATATCGGTTGAATTTGCAGGGATTTGATTGTTTGACTATGGTAAACATCAAAAATTCTACTCTATCCGTACTGAAGTAGCTAGGATTACTAATTCACGAACACTTTATTCATACACAAGTGACATTATCCTCACAAAGGTAAATCATCTACTGTTATTCTACGTTTATGGCTTCACATTCAACTATAAATTAATTTCGATCAAATCATCCTTAAAATAAATATTATAAATTTTGATCAAATAATGATGGGACTAAATTCGCTCTTAATGTTTGAAACTTTATCTCCTTAGTTGATTGACGATGATGATTGTATAGGGAAAAAAGTGTCAGTTATCTCCATAGTTCAACAACTAGCTTCGTATGATTTTTTTTCCTATACACCATAGTTACATCATTTGTTTAGTATAATAAAATCAAATATGTTGAATAGTTATTTGATTGGTATAAATCAATTTGGTTGAATAATTTTCAATCTTTGTCGCTTTTTTCTAAAGAAAATTGAGGTTGTTGTTATATAGATAAAAATTTCAGAAAGCTAAGGTTTATTAAATATAATTACTCTTATTTCTTTTATGACAAGTATGCACATATAATATATAGACAATTTAGATTTTTAAAGCTATCAATCTATCTGCCGAGTAACTTTAATTTGATTTTGTTGGAGTTGCTCTATGTAGAGCACTTATCGCTTTATTTGATTTTTAAGATATTGTGCTTGATCTTTGATCATTTGATAGCTACTCACATATTCTAAGAGCTTTAATTCCAAGATATTTGTGTAGTAGTAGTAGCTTGAGTGATTAACTATGTTGCTTTATATTTTATGCTATCAAATTGTGAAATTGAATATGTGGCCTATAATGAATTAATGATCAATATAAATCATTTGCATTAGTCCAATTGATTTAAAGTTTGTAAATTAGATATTACATGAATATGTAATTTACAAGATAGAGTAGCAACTGCAATGGACTAAATAAATGGAGTAGTAGCTAACTATGCATGCAACACTTCGTACATATAAATCTATCATTTTAATGTTATTTTGTTTTACTACAATTTTCTATAATATCCACCTTTTTCTGTAGCATTTAGACATTGTAACTTAAATATATATATTTTTTCATTTTTAATTTCTCTAGGTATGGAAAATCATAGGTCATCTATGTCATACTATCGAAGACTAGCATGGGAAATGATGACCGCTAAACAACTTAAACAAGAAGCTATTGCCCGAAATGCTCGAAGGCGGTCTACTTATAATTTAAGGAGAAATGCTCGACAACAAGACCGTGCTTCTACTCTATTGGATATTACTAATCAAGACATCACAACTAACACATACACTACTTCAAATCATGCTTCAAGATGCACACGTGATGAGTGACATTTACGTCACTCTTAAGGAGTAGTTTTAGAGTCTTTTTCGTGTTTATTTTCCCTTATTTTCCTTTTATTCTCTTGTTCTCTCTTTAATAAAGTTTCTAGTTTATTTTGGTAATTTTGGAGTGTTTTAGTTTATTTTCTTTATTTAATTGGTTTCTAGTTTATTTTCGTATTTTATTTGCTTTCAATTTATTTTATTTCGTTCCTTTTATGTGTTACTTCCATAGTTTAATAACCTTTATGTTTATTTTGTTATTTTATTTTATTTTATTTACTTGTATACTTTTATTTAATTTTTATTAGTTTAGTGTTATTTCTCTTTTTCTATTTTACTTTATTTTATTCCTAATTTATTTATTTCATTTTTATTTGTCTTGATTTCTCCTCGGTTTTGTGTTTAGGGTCCCGGGTTTCATGTCAAGTGAGTTCGGAGTTCGGGGATGAGTGAAAGTGTGCAATTCTTCTTTGATGGTTGCTGCCCACCTCTTATCCAACACCTCCTTATCCTCCACCACAACAACACCTCCATCTCCCCTGCTCCCTGCTACACCACCACAACCAAACACCACACACAACCAGCGCTCACCCTTCACCAATAACCCCTCACTTCCAGTCGCCAACAACAACAACAATCACCACCAGCTACCGCAACCTACCACAACCCAGACCACCGCAATAAACCGCTTTTAGCCACCCAAAACGGCAGCCCTTCACCACACCTGACCCGCAACTACTCAAACCACCAATTAAGCAACCAATCGATCCCTCAATTAAGCAAAAATCAGAGTGAATTGCAAATTAATCAAGTTCGAGCAAACCATTGAGGGTGCGGCAATTAAATAAAGAAAATAAATTGAAAGAAAATAAAATACGAAAATCAACTAGAAACCAATTAAATAAAGAAAATAAACTAAAACACTCCAAAATTACCAAAATAAACTAGAAACTTTATTAAAGAGAGAACAAGAGAATAAAAGGAAAATAAGGGAAAATAAACACGGAAAAGACTCTAAAATTTGCAATTTATTTTCTTTATTTAATTGCCGCACCCTCAACGGTTTGCTCGAACTTGATTAATTTGCAATTCACTTTGATTTTTGCTTAATTGAGGGGTCGATTGGTTGCTTAATTGGTTGTTTGAGTAGTTGCGGGTCAGGTGTGGTGAAGGGCTGCCGTTTTGGGTGGCTAAAAGCGGTTTGTTGCGGTGGCCTGGGTTGTGGTATGTTGTGGTAGCTGGTGGTGATTGCTGTTGTTGTTGGCGTCTGGAAGTGAGGGGTTATTGGTGAAGGGTGAGCGCTGGTTGTGTGTGATGTTTGGTTGTGGTGGTGTAGCAGGGAGCAGGGGAGATGGAGGTGCTGTTGTGGTGGAGGATAAGGGGGTGTTGGATAAGAGGTGGGAAGCAACCATCAAAGAAGAATTGCACACTTTCACTCGTCCCCGAACTCCGAACTCACTTGACATGAAACCCGGGACCCTAAACACAAAACCAAGGAGAAATCAAGACAAATAAAAATGAAATAAATAAATTAGGAATAAAATAAAGTAAAAGAGAAAAAGAGAAATAACACTAAACTAATAAAAATTAAATAAAACTATACAAGTAAATAAAATAAAATAAAATAACAAAATAAACATAAAGGTTATTAAAACTATGGAAGTAACACATAACAGGAACGAAATAAAATAAATTGAAAGCAAATAAAATACGAAAATAAACTAGAAACCAATTAAATAAACTAAAATACTCCAAAATTACCAAAATAAACTAGAAACTTTATTAAAGAGAGAACAAGAGAATAAAAGGAAAATAAGGGAAAATAAACACGGAAAAGACTCTAAAACTACTCCTTAAGAGTGACATAAATGTCACTCATCAAATTCCCCCAAGCTAAACCTTTGGTCGTCCTCGAGCAAAGCTAAGGCAAAAGAGAACAAGAAGGAATTATTTAAAGCAAAAGAAACAAAAATAGAAACAAAGAGAAAGAATGTACCCCACAACTCTTGACAGAAACCAAGGCAAGGCAACGAAAGGAAAAGGAAAAGAAACACGAAGAGAAAAAGCAAAACACAAGCTCATATACGGACAAGAGATAAGGACAAGTACTAATGAATGCAAACCTTTCTAAATGGACAAATGTATGCGCGTTCCAAGATGTCGATGGTTGATTGAAACATAAAACATGCTAAGCATAGAGAACTACTTAGGACTCACTCCACCCTAACCCCAACCAATCGGGCCTTGTTCTCTCCACTAGCTTCAAATCAACCCTTAAACTAGCTTCTCAGGATTCCACGAAGGAACTGGAAAAAGATAAAGAAATGAAAAACTTTGAGAAGATAATCCCGACGTCTCAACTATGCATACTCTTTCCATAGGTTTGAAGTCTATCTCCCTCCACCGTTCTTTTGACCTAACCCACTAGAGTCTAAGGGTCTTTTTATTGGTTGTAACGTAAGGCTAAGGGTTAAGGCGGGGTAAAAATTTAAAATCTGGTGATAATTCCTAAGTGAAGCAAAAAGTGCGGCCGACGCTCAAAAATAACTCAAGAATTCACTAAATATCAAGCAAAAATACCACTAATGCCATTCCCCCAAGCTTATTCAACACAAACACACAAAATATACAAAATGAAGGAACGATCAACACGTGAGTTTTATAATCATGTTTGTAGCCTATTGACATTGTAATTAAATATAGTTAAGCTTTTATATGACATCAATATGTGTTGATTATTGTAGGGAATATTTCAAGCATTACCCCAAACTTGAACCCCACTGTGATCATACACTAAAATACGATGGCGTCCAAAGGGAAGAAAGCTAGAGCGAAAGAGTTGCCAACAAGTTTTAGGAACTTGTAAACCGTTCACAAGGTGAAGGTTACACCCCTTAACGATCCAAGAAATCGTTAACTCCAATAGGTCTTGAACCAAGACTGGAAGTTCGGGGATGAAGGAACAAATCCAATCTAAAAGAGAAATAACCTGCCCTAATAATAGGCTTCTCCTTTATTGTTCTCGTATTTTTTTTTTGGTAAATAAAGAATTTTATTACCAAAAGTAAAGAGTTACTACCCATAAAAGTAGCAACTACAAGAAATGAAAGTTCAGTACATGCCCTTTGGGCCAAAGAAGCAACAAAACCAAAGCCCGAAGGCAAAACAAAGACCACAACTACGGAACCTCTAACTAACAAAGGAAGTGGAAACCGAAGCTACAACCAAAAGTGGGTAAAAAAAACCCAAACAACCAAAGAAAACAAAAAAGGTGAGTATAAAAAGCATTGGCTTAGCTTGAAAGCATACACCATCCACCTGCATCATCATAAAACGCAGCTTGATAACAATCCCATAGTCAGCCTACCAGGACAGAACAACGACATGCATGCAGTACAATCCAGGACAAAAGATCGCAGCCATGAACCATCAACCAGCAGCACAAACATAAGGAAGCCCAAGCAAGACAGAGAAGCACAAGATGTCACGATAAAGAAAATCAACAGATACCACAGCGGAAGAGGCAAAAGAAGGAGTCCTAGAAGAACCAGCAAACAAGGTAGCAATAGGAATATCACCCACCATACAATCCAGGCCATCAACTAGTACCTTATACTAGGAGACATCACTAAAAATAGGGCCTCAACCTACTACACACCAAGCAGGCTAGAATAACCATGACTCACCCATGACACCCAACTTCCACCACACCAAAACAACAACAAAGAATAGACCACTACCAGCATCACCATAAAACAGCTTGATAACACCCCATAGTCATCCTGCTAGGATAGAACAATAGCATACATGCAGTACAAACTAGAACAAAAGATTGCAGCCATGAACCATCAGCCAACAGCACAAACACAAGGAGGCTCAAGAAAAACATAATAGCACAAGATGCCTGGATAGAGGTAGATCAACAACCACCACAACAAAGGAGGCAAAGAGGGAGTCTTGGACAAAAGCAAGAGCCAAGGTAGAAAGAAGGATACCACCCACCATACAATCCAAGCCATCAACTAGCACCTCATGCTAGGAGACAGCACTAAAAACAGGCTTCATCCCACTACATACCAGGGAAGCTAAAATGACCAAGCTTCAACCATGAGCCAACCTCCACCAAAAAAACAAAGAAAAACACCTTCCAACAGCATCACCATAAAAACAGCTTGGTAATAAACCCGTAGTCAGCATGCCAGGACAGAACAATAGCATACATGCAATACAAAACAGGACAAAGGATCGTAGCCATGAACCATCAACCAACATCACAAACACAAGGGCCTCAAGCAAAGAAGAAAAGCATAAGATGCCGAGGAAAAGATAGGCCAGCAACTACCACAAAAGAAGAGGCATAAAAAGAAGTCTAGACATAAGCAAGAAACAAGGTAGCAATAGGAGAAACACCCACCATACAAACCAGGCCATCAACTAGCACCTCATGCTAGGTGACAGCACTAAAAACGGGCCTCAACCCACTACACACCAAGAAAGCTAACAAGACCCAGACTTAATCATAACAACCAACCTCCACTATCCACCATCAATCGACATAATCATAAAATCACAGCTAAATAACAACCCAGAAACCAGCCTGGTAGGACGACAGCACGACAAGCATACAATACAAAACAGGATAAAGAATCGTTACCATGAACCATCACCCAACAACACTAATCACTAGGAAGCCTAAGCTGAAAAATGTAAGACAATACATCTAGACAGTAGAAACACTCAAATAAGCAATTTTCATTTTAACAAAGATAGTAAAACGGAGGTAAATAATAACTATTCAACCATCCTTTTACAATTGAAGAACACCAGGGGTTGCAATTAATGGGAGCTGCCACCAACCTCAAAGTCAACCTCCAAGCAGCAATCCCGCAACCAGAAAAGCTCCGGAGAAAGGTTGAACCCAGAAATCAGAGCAAAGCCCCAATAACAACACCAAACAGGGGAGAGAGAGACGGCTGACAAACCTGCAAACTCGCCGAACAACGAGCCTGCAAACTCGCATACCACCTCAAAACGCGCCCCAAAACCCACTGAATTAGGCCACC